TAACATATTTCACTGTGGTAGATATTTTGTGTGACACTGCAATATTTTAAATACTTTGTTAGTTGTACGCAGAGAGGTGGCAGTTGGCTGTACAGTAAAATATTGATGCAGTGAACATCAAAATGATTTTAAATTTTAAGATACATTTTTAATGTATTGGCCAGTTTTCTGTTTTAGTATGCAAAGGTGTTATTTTTAATTGGAATATCAAACTAAGCCACGTGTTTATGTGACAAGAAGTGGAAGTACTTATTCTGCAGAACATGTAGCTGTGTGACCTTACCATTCTGTTTATTGGCATTTGGCCATAAGCTTACTTAGTTCACAGGCTAGTAATTGCTAGCCCTTTTCAGAATTTATGAAAATGTTGGTACTGTGCATGAACTGTCAAGTGATGATTCATGTTGCAGATTTAATGCCAGGTCTTTATTGACACATATGAAAGATTTCTATAATTATGTATTGATTGAAAGCATCAGAAATTTAACCGTGTTACTGAGTCACGTTATTCTTCAAAAATCCTAAAGTCGCATTCTTCTTGAAATTGTGCTCTTACAGCACAAGATTACTGATACGAAGGTGAAATATTTTCAAACAGATAATATTTTATCAAAGTTTTAGTGCATTGGTACCAATGGTCCAAAAGACCAAATTGATTGCTGTTAATTTTTATTTCCTTATCATTTCTGAATTTGCTGTTTAGGCCTACGAGACACACAATAACTTGAACATTTTTGCAGTTAATATTTTTAGCTGTCAGAACATTTAAGTACAGAAACAACTGTTTAATTTGTGTTCTTGACCGTACTTGCGCAAAAGTCTTGGGGTCTGCCGCGGGTCATAGCGTGTACTTGGAAAATACATTGTTTTTTATAATTTTATTTTGGGGGGTGGAACCGTGCAGGTGGATGAGACATTTCGTCAAATGCTGCACAGAAAGGGAGAACCAGATCATTTTGTTGCTGGTTTTGTATAGTGGAAATTATCTGGCAGTGGTTAAATAATCGTAGATGGTTCTTATTTGTACTGCCTGCATGCTGAGTGGTACACCTGCCATGCTACTGCTTCTTTTTGCCTTCCTGTCTCTTGTACAGGCGTATGCTGCGTCTAAGAATATTTATCTCGTAAATTAATGTTGGATGCTGGTATTTATTTTTGCTGTATATTATGTGCCTTTTGAAAAAAAATGCGGTCAGTTGTCAGATTGAACTCCCCGGTTTTGAAATTAATTTATTGCCATTGATGTTATCGTATGTAGTATTGATATTTTTGTACACAGTATATGCACTGTACCAATCATGCTTGTTGTTCTAGTTGAAATTTAGCGATGGGGCTAACATCATCTTTTCCCTCATATTGCCTTATACCACTTTCATGCGTTGTTTAAAACATTCGAAGATGGCTACATGGTGCACCGACCCAGAAGACAGCCGTCTTTATACTCGCTGGCATGATAACCCATGTTAAGTGGTTTCCTGTCACCATGGCATGGCACATCCTCAGGTTGCAGATGCAGGAACAGCCTCCAGTTATGGAGGTTAGCTGTGAATATATTGAATAAACAGTCGTGGTCAGCTGACAGGTGGTGGTTTTCCAGCATGGTGGTTGGGCATGAGGCTAACGACCTTTCACCGTAAAAACTGTATTGTTGCGAAGAATTATACCAAGCCTCAGGCCCAGGACAGGGACCGGTGGAGAACTTTGGTTAATTCGGTGATGAACCTTTGGGTTCTGTAAGCCATCTCGTTAGTTGCATGTGATAACACAAGTGCCACTGCCTTATCACTCTTATAATACTGTAACGTGGGTCGGCGTTGCGACCTTGGATTGTCAACCCTGATTTATTCACGTCAAATTAAATCAGTTACAGAGGTCTGCACATACAGTCATCTCTCTACAACAACAACACACTCGAGTATGTGCGCACACACACACATTCTCTTACACTGTCCATCGAGTCTATCTGGTTCCCGAGCTCCGCTCTTCACACTCTTCTCCTACACGTCGGCCCGTAGCACCCCACTGGACACTCGCTGGCTCCTCGGCCGCCACGGTCCACTACCCGGTGCTCCCACACGTAGCCGACCCGTCCTTACTCGGCGCCACACCA